CTCTGCACAATTTAGGGTAAAAATCTTAACCTAAGCTAAACTAATCCTAATTTAACGCATTGTCGCTCATAAATTCTTCCTGATTTCACCTCAAAGAACAAATTTAGCTCTTACATCACCGATCTGTAACTCCTGTCGATTTTAACGGCTGAAAAGTGAAGTTTTCTGGGTTTTTTCTGGGATGTTTCACGCTAAATGATTGCAACTGCTTCCATTTTGTTTACAAGGAAGTAAACAGCTGAACAGTGTACTGAACACTGCCCCCTGGTGTTGGGGAGGATATAGCAGCTTGTTGCTGTTAATCCGTTTAAAGTTATTATGAATATATTATCAAAATTATCCTCATCAGCAAATAATAATTGCTTCTTTGCATCATGAGATCCCTTTATATTATATATTTTTGAAGAATTAACTTTATTTATTAGAAATTCTTATAAATTAAGAATTTCTGGCTGTTACAGCAGACAAAACCTTAAAAATAGCATTAGAAAAATTAAAGAAGCAGCTATATAGACATATATCTGAACAACATAAAACATGTTTTAATGAACATAGAAAATGAAATATATGACATTTAATAAAACAGAAAAAATAAAATTTATTGAATAACGTGGGGGGAAAAAACAATCAGCAGGTGTTAGGTGACAGGTTTTGCAGTGTAAAGAGTTACAGCGTGATATTAGTAGTGTGTTGATTGATTTAGGACTACAATTATTTTGAAACGGAGTTGAAACAGTTATAGTTGTTATATAGGTGTTATAGTTGTGGTTATAGTTATAGTATCTCCAGCATTTCAGGTTCAAAGACTCTGAGAAGTACAATTCAGTGATTCAGTGATTTTTAGATAATAATTTTATTCATTTATGTGAAGACTGCATTACACAAATAGAGCTTTTGCACGGGACAAATATTCACAGTTTTACACTAGTAGACCTACAGATTGTCCATCACAGAGTTAAAGATGAAGAAGAGTTGAGATGAGGTCTCCACAGTGCCTCTGCATCCTTCTGGATCCTCACAGCCTGAGAACAGTGTGACAGATTATTTATATTAAACACAGCAAAGTAAATTGATTTTGGATTTTATTTTTAATTAATTCATTGTTCTGTCACAAAATAGAGAGAAAACGCTGCTTCAAATGTCCCAGAGCCCTGTGTCCTCATGAAGACACGAGGCTCTGGGACATTGAGCCTTGTTATGTTTATTATAGAATTATGCTTATTTCTAACCAGATATTCAAATTGTCTGTGCCACATCGTCATTTGAAAAGAATACAGGTAGTGCCTCTGCACGTGAATAAGTTTAAGCACACCTAAATGTTTCTCCCCTGCTTCTCCTGCAGGCTGAGCTTCAGCAAGTTGTTGTACTGATGTTCCTCTAAATCCTTCCCAGCATCAGCGGGCCTGAGAGAACAGAAAATACCTTTCAATCAAATAAATCTGTTGTTTTGTTCTGCTTTTAATCTGGTGCTTCATTCACTGACTCACTTGGTTTTCTTCTGCCTTTGGCTGAGCAAGAACTTGATAAAGTTTTTCTGCACCATTGAATCCATGATTTTGCTGAATTCGCTGGCGATGGTAGACTCAGCGTACCTCTTCCTCAGGTTCTGCTCGTCTTCACTGAGAGGCAACAAAGACACAAATATAAAAATCTGATTATTTCTTTGACCCTCTTATTCCCTCTCCTCACACTCAATAGTAGTCAGACCCTGTCATATCTTAAAGACTTAATAGTATCTTATTATTAGTGCTTTGTGATACTGGAAATTTTGATATCGAACCGATAGCGAGTAAATAGTGTCAGTGTTGCTAATACCAGTAACACCTTTGAGCTTTTCATGTACTTTGAAGCTGTTTTTGTTTTTTGAGACCTGTAAATCTGCCTGTCTCTAAATCCCTTTGGGTCAGCTTCTGTTGTTTAACTGTGCTGTAGGCTATAAATAAAATAGACGCGACAGTGTCGATCCTCTCGTGCTAGTATCAGTCCAATACCAGTACTAGCACTGGTATGATCGATATTTGGATCGCTCTCCCCTGTATATATATACAACCATTTGTGCTTAGTAGAAACATATTTATTTTTCTAATATATCTGCAATTCACTTCCTGATCCTTCTGCTGCTCAAACAAGTGAATTTCCCCAGTTTGGGATACACATTCTTCTTCCCCGCTGTCACCAAGCTCTGCTCACAGGGGATCGCCTGCTTTTTCTCTGATATTGCAGGATCTTTGTCTCACACTATTTGGCCCCTCAAGGTGACTTTTGTTATTGTTATATTTTTTTGGTTATTTGTTCAACCTTTTGATTGCTAAAGTTAAAGAAAATGATGAAAATATTTCCAGACGTGTAATTCTATCTGACCAAGAGTCAAATCCTCACATCCAAGAAGCAGAGGATTTTCCTTTTTGTAGATTTGATTAATAAGCAGCTCAACTAATCATAAAAATTGTAGTTTTAACCAATTGGCCATTTAACTTGTCCACATCAGCCACATTATTACAGTGTACTGTATTATAGCAGCAGAATATGGACCCTGATAGCTTCCTTGTCATATATGACAAGGTTTTCTCCGTTTTTCTTGTATTATTGTGAGGTTTTTACCTTACAATTCAAAGCACCTTGAGGAAACTGTTCGTGTGATTTCGCACTATATAAATAAATCTGAACTGATTTTAATTGAATTATCAAAGATATAACAAAATGTGGTATAAAGTACTTATTATTATGTATTTAAGGAGTCACGCTATTATAAATTGTGTTGACATACTGGGGGAAAAATAGTCAGCTAAGCACACGGAGAAAAGTTTGGAAGCCATTTAAATACTTATATTAAATTCAAGCTCATTATGCAGATAAAAGGACTTCCTGCTGCACTGAGGCAAGGTTTCCAATCTTTTGTGATTGAAGTACCCCCCACAGTAACCCATTTCTACCCCACACTGTCACGTTCAGACTGTATTCATTAAAATGTTTAACCCACAAGTCAATTAAAAGTATAAATTCCAATTTAAGATGTTTTTTTATCAGAATATTTTCTAACATTTAAGATTTGTCTTCACAGCTGTGACCTGCCATGCACTATATTGTGATAAATAATCCCCCACTATAAGCCTTTACATTTATTTTCCTCCGCAAACACAAACATATATGAATATTTTTACAATTTTATAATCATATCTTTTTTGCTTTTATTAATCCCAACTTTTACATTTTAAGTCAAGCTAAATATGAGTTTTGCTGTATTTGAACCTCACTGTCCTATAGAACAGTGAGGTTCAAATACAGCAAAACTGTAGACTGTACACAGTCTACAGTTCACTCCAAAGTTTAATTTATAAGCATTCAATGTTATAAAATTCTCTAAAATTAAATATATAAAGTAAATGCAAGTAAAAAAGTTTTAAAATCATTGGAATTTTGAGCAGCCTTGTCTTATAAATATTGCCGTTAAATCCAATTATCACTCAGTATGTTCAGGGGAAACAAGCATGTAAAGCATACAGTGAGACTTACGCCATCTCTTCTGGTTTTGCATGCAGGGCTCCCAGCAGGCAGATGATCAGAAGTTTGAACAACAAAGCCTTCATGATGACCTGAAAGGAAAAACAGAGATTGTTGGAGAAAGGTCCACACTTAGTTCAACAACTTTAAGCAACCTGGAGGAAAGGTGAGCATATTCTGCAGCTCAAACCAAGTGTGTGAGCAGTTACATGAAATCCATTCAAGTATATTTTCTCACCTTTGAATAAAACGTCTTTAAAGCAGGCAGAGGGGGAAAATTTCCAGAGAAATTTGTAGACTGCTTACTACGATGTGTTGCTTTCAGAAAATGGGCTTTTATATAGTTTCCACTGAGATAATATGAGCCAAAGCTACAAAAACAGTTTAGTTCCAACACATTAAGTCATTAATGAAACACATACACACACAGGTGACTACTGATAAAGAGGGACGTAATAAACTTTAAATGGGAAAATGCGTGGGCCATTAAACTAATGAAAAAGTGGCAATGTGAAAATTAAAGCATGTTGAAAATACGGTGAAGATGTTTGACTGATGCTTATCGTAAAATGAGAAACCTCTGCTCTATGACACTTTCTCCAAAGTAATGACACCTACTGCTCCTCTCACAAAACACCTTAGCCTCAGCTATTGCAACCCTCACACAGTGACACTGAAATTATAGCTTAAAGAAGACCCATTACTATCATATATAGGGTGGATGCTTTCAAATATTAAGATAGTTAATTCAGTTTCATTTAAATTTTGTTTCTATAATGCCAAATCACAAGAACAGTTGCCTCGAGGCACTTTATATTGTAAGGTACAGATGCTACAATAATACAGAGAAAACAGAAAAAAAACACAAAAATCAGACGATTTCCTGTGAGCAAGCGCTTTGGCAGCAGTGGGAAGGAAAAACTCCTCTTTAACAGGAAGAAACCTCCAGCAGAACAAGGCTCAGGAAAGGGGCAGCCAACTAGTGCAACCGGTTAGGGGTGAAAGGAGGAAGACAGGACAAAGAAATGCTGTGGAAGAGAGCCAGAGATTAATAATAACTAATGCAGAGTGGTGTAAAAGCTGAATTGTGTAGGTAATCATGTGGGTCAAAAACTCAGGCTTCAGAGTACTCTGAAAGCTCTGTTTTAGACATTTTTTCTACTCTTTGCTCTGTATGATGTCCGTTTGCAAAAAGCAGCCTATCTGCTGACAGGAATTTCTTATGTATTTTACATATTTGAACCTCGAAGTAATAGCCTTTGTCTGTTAGAAACAATTTTTAAAATGGTGTTCAACTGTAATCTATATTTATTTTGTAATTTACATTTAAAATGAATTATTTATTTATTTATAGTTTTTAACAAAAGACAGTTCTCATGTAAGTCCATAGTGTTTCTATCAGCTCAAAGTTGAAAAATAGACGTCCAACCACGGAGGTAACACGTTGACCTCTTACGTGACACCAACGTAACACTAGAACACGCCCCTTCAGTCGTTGTTTCCGGTTGCTTCACTCGGTTGCATTTTTTAAATATCCAGGGGGACTTTTCAGGCAGCTCTAAAGGGAGTAGTTACTCTTTGACTAAATGCACTTCCAAATAATACATACTCGGCGTCTATAACGACTTACTTGAAAAATGTTTAACAATGGTCTCGAAATGTCGCCATTTCATTATCTAATGTTGGTTTAATGCATGTATAAAGCGTCGTTGTGCTTTCTCGCGCCCCCTACTGGTGCCCTTCCGATGGAAACCTCCAAAACATAAGAAATGGCCATCCAACAAATTACGCATGCGCAGTAGTCAGCGCTTTAAAACAAGTCTTGAGGAGGGAACGTGAAGACAGTTGCAGGTGGACTTGAATAATAGTCGATGTAAGCTGAAAACGTATAAAAGCGTGTTGGTAAAAAGCAGGTACGTGTGAATTATGAATATCACAATGCGTACGTTACAGCCGGCCCTCTGCGGGCGCGCGGTTTGTCCGTTTAACTAACCGGTTAGCGTTAGCCACCTAGCTAGCTGTTATTGTTTTTTCGTGATTCCGCGAGAACCAAAATGGAGGAGATGGCTGATGCCAGTGTCCTACACAGCCACTCCCGAGTCCTTGTTTGAAGCCTCCACACTGAAATGTCGACCCAGGTGCATTATTAATGGGTCAAATTCCCATCAAACCCACGAGTTTGTTACCAAATCAGCGTGTCTGTGTTTGCACTGCTGTGTTAGTATAGCTTAGCTTCAGTTTTCAAACCCGGCGAGCATTTTCTTTTGTAAAATGTGCCCCCAAATCATACACAGTTTAACCGTGTAGTCCTCTTTGATTTGTCCAACCGTTACAAGCCCGTGTATGTTTTTTACCCCAAGCGCAAAGACTTTGTACTCTATGAAATAAACACACAGGAGGAGCCAGACGGATGAATTTGTCCTTTGTTTTTGCAGGACAGTAGCTTCGAGTTCACATGTGAAGTTGCTGCTGGTTGAATCTCAGGATGAAAAGTCGTCGTTGTGTTCGCCATGACTCTGAGGTCCACGCTGTATCCAAACACGCGATTCAGGCAGCACGCTGATGCCGGGGTCGTCACCGTTAGCCCAGTGAGCCTCAAGAGGGAGTCCTGCGACTTTGTTATAGATGTTCAAGACGTGCAGAGGGGCGAGATCCCAATCAAATCAAAGGACTTAGACCAGAATTACATGACAAGCAAGGTTGCCCTCGCTGCCACTGTTGCAGAGGTAGTTCAAGGAGACACTAAACCTGTGGGGGTACTGTCCCCTGTCAGACCAATGGGGGGTGAGGGAACCCCGGTGAAAGGTAAACCCCTCTCTGTTGACAATATGGAAAACCCTCAGATGGCTGTGAACAATAACTCAAAGGATGCCGGTGCTGATGAAAGTGCGAAAGGGGTTGTACCTGGAGTGCTTGGCACCGCATCCATCGAACTCTCATCTGAGGGTAAGTGGAGGAACATCAGGAAGACCCCTGCCAACCCTCACACACAGGCCAACTGCCTCCGTCAGATTCTCCTCCTCCAGCTGGACCTCATTGAACAACAGCAACAACAGCTCCAGTCCAAGGACAAGGAGATAGATGAGCTCAAAGCAGACAAAGAGACGGTACGTTAAAGTCTTGGTCCGTCTTAATGTGTTTTCTGTCACTTTTTTCCTTCTTTATCCCAGAAATGTTGCTTTTTTCCACACTCATGTCTTCCTTCTTTTGCAGCTGCTTGCACGTATTGAGCGAATGGAGCGCCGCCTTCAGCTCACAAGGAAGGACCCACCCCGTGATAAGCGCCTTTTCCAGCCCTTGGAGCCATGGACCCCTGACAAAGAGGACATGTGGGATCTGGAGCTCGAGAGTCCACAGCCTGACCCAGCCACGCCACTCATCTTCAGTCGGGGTGGCAAAGGTCATAAAAGGTATAATAAACGCCAGCAGAGGCAGCACAAGTGTTTGTTCCTGTTCCACATAATAAAGTGAAAAAATGTTCTGTATAATTTGGTCTATTCAGACTTTGTCCATGTTATTAAAGGAAAATGAGGTGACATTTTTCTGCATACGAAAGACCAAAAAGATTTTAACCGTCCTCCAAAGGGAAACTGCCATTATTTATTTCCTAAATATCCAGAAATAATGGGGAATTGATACTGTTAGATAAATGGTAACATGATAAGATGCCGCAGACTTGTTGTCTGTACTGTATGTAGACCACTTGTGTTTCCAAAGGCCAATTTCCATTTTATGTCTTTCATTTTTAGGAAATCTTGCTTTGGTGATACAAAAGTGCAAAAATCTCGAGGTAAAAGTGCCAAGTTGAGCCCGCAGAAGCCCGAAATTGAGCCTGGCTCTCCTAATCAGAGAGAGCTACGCAGCAAGGAAACCCCAGAGAAGACTGTTCCCGCGAGGGCAGAAAGGGACGGTTTGCTCCTTTGCAAAGAGGAGGCTGAACTGAGCTGCCAGATGGAGGATCTCCCCTTCATGTCAACGACAGAGATGTATCTGTGTTGCTGGAACCAACCTCCTCTGTCCCCCCTGCGTGAGACTTCCCCGAAAAAGGAGGAAGAGGTGGCCAGTGAGTGGACTCCTCATGTAGTACATGATATGCTGATTGTTTGTAAGCCTAACCTATATCCCACCTTCAATCACTTTATCCTTCAAAGTGTCCTGAACAAAATATCTATGAATAAACTCTTCTCCCTGCTTCTGTTCACCTCCTAGTCCCATCTTGGAGGGAAAATATAATAGAGCCGCTGAATGAAGACTCCTCCTTTAATCCCCCTGAGGTGAGCGACGCATCTGAAAAGAAACTTGTACCTCCTAAAATGAACTCACATCAGATCCAAATGAATTTTTAACTCACAATTCACTTCTGTTTCCCCTCAAGCCGCTAGACGACGGCGTGTTTTTGAAACGTCACTCAAAGCTCGAGTTGGATGAGAAGAGGAGGAAAAGGTACCGGTCGCTGACTTAAACTTGGTTTAACATTTTAACAAATGCATTTCTTGAGTGTTGAGCGGTATGGGTGCTGGAGTAAACTGCAACAACCTGTATTAGATCAATTTTATCTAAATTTTGATTATTAAATAGTTTTGATGAGCATTTTCGGAGACTTGGTCTAAACTGAGCCCTGGATTTAAATATTAAAGACCAGAGTATGAATAAACATCAAGGTCTGTTCTGCTCTCATTGTTGAAGAATGCCAAAGTATCCCCCACCCCATTTTAATGAATGAAAGCTGAAGGTGTGATATTATCAGCGATCCAAAATAGTGTTTTGTTTTTTTGTTTTTTAATTTATTTTTTGCCATAATTGAGCAGCCCCACTACCACCTGTCTCTCACTCTTTACTTTTCCTGTCATGTAAACGAATCCTGCGTGTTTCTAGATGGGATATCCAGCGAATCAGAGAGCAGCGCATGTTCCAGCGTCTGCAGCAGCGCATGAACAGGAAGAAAGTTGTCCAGGAGACCGAGCCGGAGTTGTCGTCCTTCTATCCCGACACCGAAGATGGTACATCTTTAGTATTAGAGCAGTGTAATTCTTAAATCAAACCAGGAGATTTTCATTCTTAATTTTAATTCTTAATTCTCTTCCAGTTGAAAGTATAGTGATCACTCCCTTCTTGCCTGTGGTTGCATTTGGTCGGCCTCTGCCTAAACTCTCACAACAGTAAGTTAAAAGTTTTTTGTTTTGGGCTTTTCCTTTATTAATATACAAACTGTTAATAATATTGGTGGATTATCTTTAAATATGGCCAAAGCTTCCAATAATAAGCTCAGCATATGTACAAGTGCTCTCTGTGAGGTTAAAGCTCAGGCACTACTTTGTTTCTGTGTCAGTAGGGCCATATATCCTTAATATGGTTGAGTGAGCACAGCAGCCCCACTCACCTGCCTGTTTGGCTCACATGGTAACAGAAATTTGTCTCTAACTGAACAAACATCATAGCTAAAATCTTTGTGTAGTCTGAGTTTCATTTAAGACAAAACATCAAATGAAGTGAAGGCCATTTTCACAGTCCACCTCTTCCCCTGCTGTATTTCTTCTGTAATTTATTGCAGGCCTGTATTCATTTAAAGCTGGGATAAAATGATTTAAATGGAACCTAATGCAGTCCTTTTTTTTTTTTGTCCTTGGACTATCACAGTAGCTTTGATGATTAACAGTTACATATCCTTATTTAGCTTATACGGTGCTTTGGTGCAGCCCATCAGTTTGAAACAAGCTCCCTTTGAGCCAGGAGTTAAATTATTATTATAAACAAAACAAACAAACTTTAAATAAATAAATTATATTTTAATAAAGCTGCTAAAGGACACCACTCACCCCACTCTAGTGAAAAATGAACAGACACCAGAGGGTTTAATATTATTATTCAGTGATGGTATGTTGATAAGGCCATTAAGCATCTGTTTTATGTGCAATTCACTCACATATCTCATCTTTTCAACATTTAGTCTCTAATAAATATTGTAGTTTTACCACTATATTGTCTGGCCTTCGTAAACAAAAGGTTTGAAGTTTTGGTATACGCCGATGCTTTTATAAGAACCTGAAGCTGTTTTTAATATCAGCATCTGTCATTGTAACTCTGTGTGTGTAGCATATATATGATATAAAATGAGAAAAAGCAGCAGGAGCATTCCAGTTATTTTCACTCGTCTTTACTCTTGAACTGAGGGTCGACTGTCCGTTGTTTTCTCTCCAGGAACTTTGAGCTGCCTTGGCTGGATGACCGCAGCCGGTGCCGCATTGAGGTTCCCAAGAAACACACGCCTCACCGGACCTGCAGGAAGTGAAGCCCTTAAAAAACAGCAGCAGTGGTGGGAGAAGAAGATGATTATGATGATGCTCCACACCCAGATTAAAAAAAACAAAACAAAAAAATTTGCTGGTGTGGCAGGGAGTCGCATCACTAGTCGCTTTGTTTAACTGTCACTGTTGCTTTTGCTCTCCTGAGTTTTGGTAAAGGATGGACGATATCTGCAGGGCAGGGTGTCCTTGATGTTTTCGGTCTCTTAAAAGAGAGGCTGAGCCCTTCATGCCAGAAGATTACAGCCCTCAAGTCAGCAGCTGTTCATAATTACACATTTACCAAGAGTTACATGCATGTCCTGATACTTTTTTGGTGGATCTGCACCACAGACGTAAAAAAGACCCATAGACTTAATCAAACAGATGTGGTGTTTCTGTTGTGTTATATGGGGTCGGTAGTATTAAGGGACAAGCTGAGGAGCTCTAATCTTTGTGCATACGTGTAGAGGGAACGATTTAAAGCCACTTTGACTGAAAATAGAGCTTCGCGAGCAATGCAGCTGCATCCTTTTCGCTTGGGTTGTGTCACCGCGCCTGTTCTCCCCGCATCAATGTCGTGCTGTGTATTGCCTATATCGATTGCACACGACTGCATTAAGATTTTATCGATGTTAGGTGTGATTATTGGGAGTTTTGAGCCAGCATGATTTCATATATATGCATATATATATATATAAAATAATCGAGCCAATCCAGTGTAAGGTGAAAAATGTAAACAATCAGATGATTGGGTTTGAGAACAAAGGTACAGGAAATTATTCGGGTGGTAAACTTGGCGTCGAATTCAGTAACCTGTCCCCTTTTTTTGTTGTTGTTGTTGTTTTGGGTTTTTTTTGGTTTTGGTTTTTTTTGGTTTTGTTTCTGTTAGTTCCTTTTTTATGTGAGATGCATGGACTCTCTTTAGCTGTTTCCAAATGATAAAAAAATAAAAAGGTATTAGCATGGCTTTGCCCCAAAATGGAGAATAATCTCTGCTCATTGGGCTACAAAAATACTGTCTTGAAAGCATGACCTTTGGCCGCTCAGTTCGGCCGATCTGATAATAACAAAGTTTGATTTTTGATCTTGATTTTTCTCTTTTGTTTCAAATCAAAAAAAAATAGCTTGTGTCCAGTAAATATACGATTTAGGTGTACGCATCAGACTCCTGACGTTCACGGGAGCCGTTTTAGAAGCTTTCTAGCTGTAGTCTGTGCGCGCTCTTTAACACGCTGCCAGTTAATCTCTCCCTCTGCGAGTTCATCTCAGTCACAGTCGCAGTGTTTGGTTTCTGCAGGTTTTCCTCTTCGCTGTGTTCTCTCAGCCTCTTCTACATTTGATGCAACAGCTTTCTGCAGCTTCAATTTTTTTCAGCTGCTCAGTGTGCACCTGCATATGCGGCACATTCTGGAAATACAAAGTCAGTTTTTGTTTTTTGTTTTTTCCTGTTGTTTTTCTGTACATAGCTTTCAGAAACAAATGTACATAAAACATTGCTGTTATTTTTTTATTATTTAATGTTGGAAGTGTTGAGTACATCAATATCGTTCTATGATTGTAAGTTGACAAATTGACAGTTTTGAAAGTAAAACTTTTTTTGGAATAAAATGAATATGTCTATCATATGTGGATGTGGTTATTTGATAGGGATGAAGTGGGTACAAATGTACACTAGGAGGTTGTTTATGAAAAATACATAAAAGCTATTTTTTCCATACATAGCACAAAAACTGTTTAGATTTAACCGTGTACAACTTCAGCCTCATCTCCTTTATCTGTGCCTGTGATCCCGATGACTGGAGTAGAGAGGAAGTATAACTGAAAATTTCCAGGTGTTAACAGGTCATTAACAAGCTCCTTTCATGTAGTCTTGGGCTGTTCGTTCTCATGATCATCCCACCCCTGGCTGGTCCTTTTACTGCACCAGCAGTGTGTTATGCTTACAAATGAAGCTGTTCTAGATGATATTGCATGGATCAAAAAATGACCGTACTTTTTTTTAATTCCATCAATTTTCACAAGATCTATAACGCCACTGTCTGAAATTCATCCCCAAACCACCACAGAGCCTCCACCATGTTTCAGAGATGACTGTAGACTCACAGTTGTACCTCAGTCTGGACTAAAACTTCAGATATTTAAAATCGCTCTGTAAGACGACCTGCTGATTTTGAGCCCAGTTCTTGTGTAATCTGCCTTTTCTCCCTTGGAGTAGATGGATCAACTGAAGGGTCAGAGTCATTTCTCAGGTCCGGCATCATCTTTTGTGCGCCGCTTGTCCACTTTCCTCATTGTTCTTACAGACACGCTGCACACCATGCCCAGATATGCCAGGTTTTCAGCTGGTAGCTCTTTGGGAATCACCTTGTTGGTATAAAATTTTATATCACTCAAACTGTTGTTTCTGGCACTTTGTAGATTCAGCTAAAGAAATGGGACCAAAGTCTTTGATCTTATGACTGCTAGTAACAAAGTACCTAAATATACAACTTAAAACCGGTTCTTTGTTGTGTGTTTTGTGTAAACACTGAATCAGGAGACTTTTTTTATGCTTGCATGGTTCATAGGTCAGTGTTAAGTGGGTGAACATAGGAAGAAGCATTCCTCTGCAATTGATCAGGTACAAGGACTGGATGGGAAATGAGTGAAAAAGCAGCCAATGTCCAAAGAAAAACTTTAAAAGACATCGAGAAAGGCCTGGAGAACTGGTGCTGAAGAACACCTTAAAAAAATACTGGCAACCACCAGTGCTGCCTCTCAATGTCACAGCAGACACACTTATAGTATCAGTTTCAAAATCCTACATTGCCTTGTTCTCAAGTTATCACATTCACGTAATTTTCAGAAAGCTTTTTCTGTCCTTGCCATCAAGCTCAGTGAGATTCGAACTTGTCCAAGATTTGTAGTAGATACACCTGTGGTATCAATTTGAAAATCCTAAGTGACTTCCTTCTCGAGTTATCGCCTTCACAAATTAAGGTGTCCCAGTGGGGTGACGCACATACCCCATCAGCCTTTTATGGCTGAGGAAAATATAAAGAAATGATGCGTGACTCAAGACTTCAGACTTCTTCTCAGTTCTCTAAACTAACAACACATGTTCATAGAACCTCAGTAGCAGATATTGAAAACCTATCTCAAGCAGTTTTTCAGAAAACTGAATAATTGAAATAAACGAATAACAGCTGTGATTTAATTCACATTAAGTTTATCTTTCCCCTGGAATTTTGTCTGAGATGTTCAGGTAGAATCTGCTAAAAATAACACTCTGATCACACAGCCAGTTATTTAAATCTGGAAAAAATGTTTATTGAATAGAGAAAAAAAACAAAACAGGACAGTTTGTCAAAAATAAACACCACTGACTCTTTATTAACATTTTGGTGAAATAAATCTTAAGAGTGCCAAGTCAGCTGACCTCACCTTTCTTTCCAAATATAATCTGTAAAATCTGTGAATGCAGCTGCAAAAGATGCCGATATTTCAACTTCCTGCACAGCATCTTCAGGTAAACCCTGACAAACCGCAGATTCCATCTACTAAACAAAAAAGGCTACAAGTGTATTATTATTATGATTATGGTGATACAAACACCAAAACAGCCTCATGTACAAAAAAAAAAAAGAAAAACTTCACGTCACCCATATAAAATGTCATTTTTTGTGATATTACCAGCTTTCGTTTGGATTTCCTTAAACAGTTTTATAATTAGTGTTAATTTAATTTGTGAAAACGTCATGCCTGGAGGAGTTAGTATTTACAGACTGTGACATAAAGTCAGCTTGTGTCATTTGGCAAAGTCGTAAATGAGGCAACAATTTGCCAAACCTATGAAGGATAATGACCCTTTTGCTTTTTTTTTTTTTTGGATAAAATACATATTACACATAATGAGAAAACACCTCAAACAGAAAGCCATACACCTTTGTCATACACCCCAGTTCTGCTGCAACAAACCAGCGTACCGCTGGCTCTACTTCCAATAGAATCTAGACACAGAGATTCGAGTATGTTTGTATTAAAGGCTTCGCCACAGCGCTCAATCTCTCCGAAGGTTATTCAGACGCTCCTCCAGGTCTGCGTCTGCGTCGGCCAGGGTCGCCTGAGGCTCCGCCTTCTTCCCTCCTGCCACCGACAGGCTTCCGCCAGTGCTCGGCAAGCCTGAAATAAACACGGGGCGTTAAAAGAAAATATCCAGAGATTCAAAGAAAAAAACGTAAAAGGGTGTTTTTTTTTCTTACTTGACAGTTCATCGGACAGGTTCAGACCCAGCTCATCCAGCACTTGGGACACAATGGCGTCGCTGTGTAGGAAGCACAGACATGGAGAGTAAATCAGAAGTCTGCCAGTCGTATTGATATTGGGTGCCAGATAAACTTCTTCTTTAAATGATTTTAAAGAAGACTGTTTAATAAATCATCTAATCAAATCAAAGGACAGCAGGGCCACCACAGAGGGTATCTCACTACTGTCAATAAAAAACAAACAAACAAAACTTTTTAAAAAAAAGTAATAGAATAAAAGAGTGTTCTAGATCTCAAACACACCAGATCTGTGATCACTTTTAGCTCATATTTGTCTTTTGTCCGTAAGTGTGTTCTGTTGTATATCTGTCAGCTTCGTTTCATGCTACCTGTCACTGATGGGCACTACGGATGTAAATTAGCAGCTAAATTGCTTATTGTAGCTTCATTTTTACACAGCTGCGAAAGATGATGGGAAATATGATGAAATTAAAAGATTCAAAGGTTCTACTTCCACATAATTTATCTTATACTTTGATTTAAATGCTGTACTATAGTGCTGTTGATATACTAGCACCCTTCTTTTAAACTGTTTATTCCAAATGATAGTTGTCCAATATTACACCTTTCTCATATTTTATTAGTTTTGTTTTTAATGTTTTAAAAATTTAAGAAAGATCTCAACTACAGGAGCTTCCTGGCCTTGGAAATCCATTGTCAGGAAGCTCCACGTCCACAGTTTATGTGCTGATGTTAATGCTAGAGGAAGTTTGGAGCTCTACAGTTATGAACTCAGCAGAACGTTGGCAACTTCTAGACCCGCTCTGTAGCTTCATTTTTTAGTTGAGTTTCTCTGGTTCCTAAACACATGACTTGGTGCCATGCTGGCATCCTATTACAGTACCACGCTGGAAATCATTGAGCTCTTTGTTTCACAAATATTTGTAAAAATAAATCACAGGCCTGGGTGATTGATTTATACACCTGTAGCATTGAGACTGAAAACACCTGAGATCCAAGATTAAGAGACTGAACAGCTCAGTACTTTGGTCTGGTCATGTTCCGATGCTCTGAGAATCCCTCACCTCTCCTCCTCATCATCCTCGTCTCCCATGGCGTCGTCGATGGCGTCGTTCATCATCTCTTCCTTCATGTCCATGATTTCACTCTGTCGCTCAAACTCCATCATGATCTTTTGGATCTGAGGCAGTTTCAGCTGTGGGGATGGGATGAATAAATGAGAGTCTGTCAGCACGTTGAGCACAGTGCATTACTATTTTTTAAAAGCTGGATCACAGAATGTTTGCTGGTTATCGGACCTGTCTGTTCATGGTGGCCATGGCTTTGGTGACGCCTTTCATCGCCTGCGCCATACTGTTGTTGGACTTCAGTGTCTGTATCTTCAGGCTGACCGCCTGAATGTTGGCTTTCATCATGATGAACTTCTTAACGTAGCGCCTAGTGCGCACTAAATCTTTGGCCATGATCTTGACGGCGTCCTGCAAAGACCGAAACGATAAAATCACTGTGAACATTCTTCCGGTACAAACGAAACTCTGCTCACAAGCCCCACGGCCTCACCATTTGCCCCTGTTTGGCCATTTTCTTGATGTCAGCGATAATCTTCTTCTCCTGCTGCTCCAGCTTCATTCGCTCCCGGTCCAGTTCTCGCATGGCTCGGTTGAGTGCCCGCTGATTCTGCCTCAGCATCTCCTCCGGAGTCTTCCTCCTTCCAAACAGGAAATCCATCTGGATGTGGATATAAGCAGAGGATCAAATTTGATCAAACAAATATCAGTTATGGCTCCTTTTTTATATTCCTGCAGTCCTCTGGGATCAGTAGCCATATGATGTGGTGATTGAGTAAGAAACAACAGGAACCATTGAAAGTACCCTCTACCTTCAGTTATAAAGTGAGATTAATCTATCTATCTATCTATCTATCTATCTATAGGTTATCGAATACGCCAGTGCCTTTAAATCGTTTTTATCTGGTTCATTATTCGATTAATCAATCAGTTGAACAGGTAACAGTCTTCCACAAAACAAAAAGTGTCAAGGATTTCCCTTCTTCTCTGATGAGCTTCTCTGTCACACATGGAGTTAAAATAAATCCATGTGGGTCAAGATAACAAAAACAGGTAACAAAAACAAAAGATTAATAAAAATTTAAAATTAGAATGGAGAAAAATAAAAGTAACTGAAATTTTGATAAACGCAGACTGAAATTACATGAAAATATGGACAATGGAGTCTGCAGTTTTAGTCTCGGTGAGCCTGGTGAGGCTTTGTTCCACATTTCCTGAGACCTGAGATGACCACATGACTATGAATCAGCTCCCTTCAAAAACTCCTGTGTTTATATTGTGGTGTGTATTCTGATCACCAGTCCCCCCCACCCCACCCCCAAGTAAATATATAAATAATTAAAATTAAAAATACTAAAACTTACACCAATAACAGTGGACATTAATGGTTATTTTAAGCCTGAAATATCAGACATCATAATCCTAACTCAAACCTGAGCTCACTCCATTGGCTTACAAACACATTATTAATTATTAAAATCGCTTTTCATCATTACTGTGTCAATAAATTGATAAATAAATGCCTGACATTTGGTCAGTTGGTGGATGTGAGAATACGAGATGGGGGGTTTCTATTTGAACTTCTCTGCCTTCCGTACAAATAAAACCCCCACTCTAAACAAATTTACAGCGACATTTTCTACACATATAAACGTGTTTCTAAGGCCGTCTCGGGCTGTCACGAGCCCCTGTTTACTGGACGGTTACTCAGCAGTCAGTTATGTGACCAAAGGCCTGAAGTCTAAATCCAGCCTTGTTTAGCTCGGTTGTTCTCCCCCTCTGGCAGGGCGACAAAAACCAACAGGTAACCCCACCACAGCGTGAGGCCGGCGGTTAAATCTCACCGTGTACGGTGGAGACGGGGGTCCAGACGGCGAACACGGCGCGAAGAGGCGTCAGCTCCGACTTCTGCTCGAAACAAATTTAAACGGTTATTTGTTTTCTTTCCTACGCTTCCGTGTTGCTAGACTTTTACTTCCCGGAAATTACGCCATCGTGCACACCCAGGCAGACGTCAGTTTTACCATGGTGTCACATTTGTCACGTGCCTACAGTCGACACCGAGAAAGACAGACATACATTTCAAAATAAAAGCTAGAGAACTCTTATACAGTAAAGCTAGCTAAAAAAGATAGCTACAAGCTATTGTTATTTATTTAATTTATTTATTTTTTGCGTTTAACTTAATTCTTAACAAAGGAAGCTGTAACAAGCTGTAACAAAGGAATCTTACAGCCATACAGTGCTGTGAAAAAGCTATTGGCCCCACCCTAATTCTTTCTTTTTGATTTTTGTCTTTTTAAAAATATTTGTCACAGTTGGGAAGTTGGGAAATAAAACATATAGAAAAATATACTGATTAAAATTAAAGCAAAGCAAAACATGCAATAACGATAAAATTATACAAATAAAACCAAATAGATAATACAACAGAAAAGTAATTAAATAACAGTTTATCCATAGAAATAGACGTTTAATGACCAGTACGAAAATGAAACTAAATATTACAACAGCAACAAAAGTACATGTCAGACTTGACCCCGTAAGAAAAATGTTATTTATGCGAAATGTATTATTTTAATTCCATACATTTCCAGCTTTGGGTGACGCCTGTCATCAGACTAGCAGTCTCAGGCTTTTATTTTGTAGGGTAAATGACTCCACGTCAGGTCATAATATCCGCTGCTTGCTGAGACTGGATTGCACATGTGCGTAAAGGCTACAAGCATGTCTGCTGAGATAGGAAGTTGGTTCTTTAACTCATCGTGACAGATTATCAGTGAAGGTCTCTGACACATCTGTGGATTGATGGACTTCTCGGGAAGCTGATTCGAGTTTCTCCAGTGCAGAGGCTGCCCCTTGTATAAATATGGCTGGATTTATTGCAAATCAGCGCAGGTTGCTGCTTGTATTGAACAGAAGATTTCACGCACCTTTATCAGCCTCCCAGGTTGCCTTTTACTACGTAACAGCTTCACACCTGAACCCAAAGGACAGCAAGGTCAGCCCTGTAGCGAGGGGGCGCTCCAGGGTCCAGCACAAGCCTGCAGAAGGGCAGGAGCATGAGGGGTCAACTCAAAGAAAAGTCTTTAAAAGTGAGATCTCACTGCTGCAGAAGCAGATGAGGGGAGATGACTTCAGAGTGTCACCTGAACTCAGGAAACTGTGCTTGGACGATTTCCCTGCAGAGAGGGAGAGGCAGGTGAAGCAGAAACCTGCACCTGAAGCCAAATCTAAGGACTGCGAGGTTGTTTTTGGCGTTGCTCCCTGCTTCTTGGCTCTCACTCAGGGAAGGAGGAGGGTCCGTAAGCTGTTTGTAAAAGATGGCGAGGCCTCTCACAGGGCGTCTGTGTTGAAGGTGTGCGAGGAGGCTCATCTGCGAGGAGTTCGAGTCCATCGGGTCAGCAGGAAGGAGCTGGACAAGATGTCCAATGGGGGAGTCCATCAGGGAGTGTGCCTGCTTGCCAGTCCCCTGAGCTACCTCACCGAGGACTCTGCACCCAGCAGGAAAGATGCTCCACTGTGGCTCGTTCTGGAGAGAATCCACGACCCCATGAACCTCGGCGCCATCCTGCGCTCTGCTTATTTCCTCGGGGTGGACAGAGTCGCCAGCAGTCTTCGCTACACCTGCCCGCTGTCTCCAGTGGTCAGCAAGGCGAGCTCGGGCATTATGGAGGTGATGGGGGTGTATGGATATGAAAACCTTGCAGAGATGTTGAAGCTGAAGATGGAGCAGGGCTGGCAGGTGGTTGGCACAGTGGGACAGGAAGCAGAAGTGTTGCAGGTGCCCATCACCAAGTGTTCAGACTTTAAAATGACCAAACCCACGTTGCTGCTGATGGGAGGAGAAGGAGAAGGACTCTCCAAGGAGCTGCTCTCCACGTGTCAGACACTTCTCACCATCCCAGCGGGCAGGGAGCTGGTGCCTGGCATAGAGTCTCTCAACGTTTCTGTAGCCACAGGCATCCTGCTGCACTCTTTGCTGTCCTCCAGGAGCTCGTGATTGTTTCCTGGGATTTGTTGACTATATTTTCTCTGCTATCTGTTATTTGGCATTGGTGTTATTTGATACTTGTTACTTGATATCAATGTTTTAAGTCATCTTACTGTGTAATTTGTATCTTTGTACAGCACTTTAGCCAACACTACTGTTGCAATTAAATGTGCTATATAAATAAACTAAACATAGGTAAACGTCCACATTTTCAAACCTTATCCATGTGTGTTTTGATTCAGTACCGGAGTACAGGAGTACGTCCTGGTCGCCCAGCATCAGGACTGTGTAGTGTCTATTATTTTTATGTCTTTTGCTCACATTTTAAGGTAGGTTTCTGTATAATCAAACATGGATTTGGGTACGCCAAAGTTTCAAGGTGCAAAATGTCCTCCACATGTCAGTTTGAGGAACTTTTGATTGCACAATTGAAGCATGAGGACCAAGCGTGACAGCTACACTTTTACTGTGTTTTGCTCCACACAAGGTTTCTTTTATCCCCCTCACAAATGTTGCTGTCCTCCTCACAGACCCTTGGTTGTGTGTTGATACAGTAAATCTAATTATGATTTTCTGCATTTGCAAAAAAAATATTTGGTAACACAGTGTTTCTTGTTTAAGTTTTGGTCCTCCTCCAGAGGCCTGGATGTTTGAGGATTTGATGGTTCGGCTGCACCTTCCTGAACAGAGACCTCTGATGTTGTTCCCAGAGACTGTTGGAGCCATGATTCCAGCTCCTGTTACCAGTGGGACGCTTTGATTTTACCTTCCAGTTGTTCCTTGAGCCACTGGGAATTCTTGATTATCTCATATCCCTTCTATCTAATGCTACTGTCAGCTGCTATTGCCAAATCTATCACAGCTGCTGTCTTCTGCTCTTTTGCAATCACCGCTATCTCTGATTGGTTGGCCAGCAGCTGCTTGTGTGTCCCACAAGATTCTCATCCACCTCAGAGGTGTCTCCCATCACAACAAATAGGTTCCAACCCCTACCCGCTACTTTAGGTTGGATAAGTGGCAGGTAGGGAATGGCAGATAACTTTTCGGACTATTCCTCCAAAAATGTGCATATATATATATATATTAGTTTCAGCATATAACTTACATTTTAAGTCAACTGATTTCAATTTTCTCTTCATCTGCTGTCTTTTGTCTTTGCCTTACACATTTTTTATTGTACACATGTTGACCCTTGACCAAAGAAAAGAAACACCTGTGGAATAAGTGACACCATAATGACTCATGTGCATTTACTGCCCCAGTACACCATGACAATGAGTAGACATGCACAGTAGGAGGACCTCCCCTAAGTGGAATGCAGCCCTGATTAATAAACCAGAGCTTTTCCTGCTGCAACACGTCGACTGTCCACTGAGGAAAGAAGACTGCGGTTACGCTGCACATCAAACACTACGTGTCCAAAGGTTTGTGAACATATGATCACAGCAGCGGGGAATTTATCAGTCACAAGACCATCAGTGACGTGCAGCACTGATACTGGCTGATAAGGTGTCGATCACATCTGCTGCTTTAGTTTATCTTGGAGGCATGAATGAGGGTGACGTCAGGGCTCCATGCAAGCTTGTCAGGTTCTTCCTCACCAAACTGTAAAACTATTTACTGAAGCCCAGGGCAAATGCACAATTTTTATTGGTTGTCAGGTTGTAAGTTGATAGTTTTGCTCATCTCCTGTGACAGGTGTGTTCCCATGAGTGTTGTCTTCTTCTTTACTATCAGGAAAAACAAGCAGTTCTTACACTTCTATTAACAAGAATCCTAAGAATAAAGGAAAGACAGTAGGAGATGTCTACATACTTTTGGTCATGTTACTGAGATAAGATCTCCATTTAAAAAACACTTTTCGTTTTTTTGTAGAAACTGAAAACTTAAAGTGACATTTACAAATTAATGAAAAAATAAAAAGTTTGTGGAAATATACTAATTTTTTTTGTTTAAACCTTTACAACTAAAACTGCAAATACAAACCAACTTTCATTATCTAGCAAAGAAAATAGCATTTGAAGAGAATATAATGAAAGCTAGAACAAAACAGATACATAAAAGTTAATTTTTCATATTCTGACTGCTGTAACACAGTCATTTCCTAGATTTTTATATAAATAAAGTATTTTTTTATTATTATTTTCATATAATGGCTTTCATATCAGTTACACACATCAGTGGTTTACTCAGGAGGTTCGACTTGTGCCTAAATGATACTTTTCATCAGGTGGTAATTAAGTCCTTTTGGACTGCACCAAGATCCACATTTTTTCCAGAAAGCTAAAAGCTTTCCAAGCTTTCACTATAACAGCTATTTACATCCAAACCAATCCTCACTCTTAAGAGGTCAAACTTAGTTTGGTAAATCTTATTTAGGATTTTAACATTCACCCTTATACTTTCTGCTTTTCTTCAACGTCAAATTTCAGAATATGATCACAGTTTATCAGTTTTAATTTATATTATTAGAATGTTTGTCTTCCAATTCACTTAAACACAGGTTAGTCACCAGTGTGGGTTTCCTCATTTTAGTTTAAGTGCTTCAAATTTTTTTAATTGTGTTTTTTGTTATTTCAGTGGTAGTTTTAGCTTGTCTTTATTATGTAATGGGTGGCATTTGTCAGGGACAGATGAAATGTTTAAAACTGTCGCATAATAAAATAGTGGTTTAACACATTTGCAAATAAGCGAAAGATTCCCAGTTTCATCACAGGAGTTGGCACAAGTCCCTTTCGGGTTGTGTCAGGAAGCGTGTCTAGTGTAAAAAATCTGTCATAACCGCCACATGGAATGACCTGCTGTTGTAGCTCCTTTTAAATAAGCGTCAGGGGCGGATCTAGAGAAATTGTCTCAGGGTGGCATGAGGGTGGCATGGAAATCAGATTGGGTGGCAAAATCAAAGCTTTTTTTAAAAAAACCCAAAACGCAGGTTTTACATATGGTTAAAATGATTCAAATGCAGTAAGTATAAACATGTTATGTAGACCACATAGTTAAACATTCAGTTACATAAAACATGTGAATTTTGAGTTTATGCACTGTACAGCCTGTATAATAAATAAATATGTAGCCCAATACGTATAAAATCCAGAAAGCAACACAACATGGGGCGGTTCATTTACAAGGAAAGGTCTAACTTAAGTTTCGCTTTTGGAAAAAAATTACACTGTCAGGAACAAGATTTTAAATTTGTATTTCACCTTCAAATTGTTTTATTTTATTTTTTTACCTTGCCTTGCTTGGCATCATTCTTTTCAGCACAACCTCACGTGTCTGGATTTACAGTTATTATTTCATTGACATACTGTATTAACACAACTGATCTGAAATCACACAAAAAACATAAAATCCTAGTAGTAGTTTTTTTTAACTGTAAAAACCACAAACATGTTTAGTAAATTATTTTCACAACTTCAAATGCAAATATAAATTGTACATTTTGAAAACTTATGCATACATTTTGTAAACAATAAAGTTATATACAACTATTTATCTAAAAATGCAGCCAACACATCTGGTGTTCAAAAAAAAATTGTACAGCCATTTAAAAATACTACTATAACTAAAACGAGAAAACAATCAGGTGTTACGATAAAATGTCCCAGAAATTATTTTTGCCAGTACAAAGACAGAGGAGAAAACCACAGGGATAAACCCTGCAGGCCTCTAAATAGGTCTTTCACTTCTCCGGTTTTCCACCTGGAGACAGTTTACATTGCACACTAACTATACCCTAACTCTAAGATCTAAAAAAAAAACTTAACCCCCCCCCCCCCCCCCACCAAAAAAAATAAAAAAATAAATCACTATGAGGGTGTCCAAATTCATAGGCGACACCATCACACCCAAAACCTCCCCTTCTTCCTAATCATACGAAACCCACGTGTTGCCGTTTCCACCAATAGGAAAGAGGTGGCTATTTTTCCTTATTTACTGTTTTCGCGCTGTCCTTAGAAGACGCTTTTTTTCTCTTTATGTGCAAAAATGTTATGTTGTAGACATTGAAAGAAATATTATATATTATAATTTGGCTCTTTAAAAATCTTCTGGGTGTGGAGCTTCTTTATGAAAACTAAAAACCTGACAGGACATCTCGGTCTCCATAGGGTGGCAGTAGCGGAGTAGCAGTAGCAGCGGAGGTACCAATCAGCCTGCCTGGTGACTGAGGAAGAAGAGCGGAGCACACAATGCACTGCACGGTTGACAAGGGTTGTGTCTCCCTGGTTTTCGCGATAAATCTCCAGTTCAGTACAAACTCTCGAAGAGGCAGCAGTGGAACCGACCTGTTTCTTTCTTTATAACTTACACACTGGATTTAGCGAGGGAAAAAAAGAATTCGGTGACCGGAAACGACGGCGATTGGTCAAGCTTCTCCTAAACATTGGATTACAGAGGCTGCATGAAGGAGCTGCCCAGCCCAACGGGGCTCGGCCGACACCCTCGTTTATGGAAATCGACCCCGAGGCTTTGATGCTTGGGCCTCGGTTTTTTTCCTTTATGATGGAGGTGGAACGACTCAACAGTTTTATGTGAAGGAGAGGGATATTATTTCGTGGATAATTCGTAGAATAAAAACCCGCTTCCGTATTCTTCCTGCTTCCTCTTAAAAAATTAGAGATAGTTGGTTGTTGCTAACAGCTGGATTGGCTAACGCTGACTAGCATCCATGCTAATGTTACGTCTTTCTTTTGATGCGACTCAGCTACCACTATCGGCCATCAACAACCCGACAGGAGAAGATTTTGCCCTCTTGGCTGCTGATTATTAGTTATATTCACACTCCACAGCCCGGCTTATCAGTGTTTACAGAAACGTTTTAAGAATAAAGTTGTATTCTTAGTTTGTCGGGCTTATATTATTATAAATTGAATTAGCCGCGTATAGGCTAACTGACGTTCGCTAACAGCAGCCATTTACTATTTAAAGTAAAGCAGACAGCTCTTTTTATTCCTCGTAAGGCGTAAATTAGAGTAACTGTCAGTATTAAACGTTCAGTTTCACAGTAATATGCAACGTCTCGTAATAGTCGTTATCAGGCCTGGCTAACTAGCTAATCAATTTGCTACTAATTTTGTCAGCGTGTGCAGAAATTAAGGAAATCACAAATAGTTTGTTGATTTAATCTGTGCCGAAAACAGCATTATTTTCAATCTGTTACTCCTGCGGAGGCAATCTCGCCCTGCTTTGGGTGTAACACAGCCAGACTTGTGTTTTATTGTTTACATGTTTACAACTTGTGTGGTTAT